TCTCCACTAGAAGACTTACCTACCAAAAACAGGTGTACGACACGAATTCGTCACTAATTACTCTTTCGTCCCACTAAACGTGTTTCTTTTAGTTTTTAAAATTATCTCATTCAAAATGTTTGATTAAAGAAGTAAACAAACAACACTTACCCCCTTTATGTCTCACTCTTTTAGTCCTATCAAAATAAATCTATCAAATCTATTAATCACTCTTTAGGGATAATTTTATCATTTCTTTTGGTCAAATATATATACTAAAACTACATTTATAGTCAACATGAGACAAAAATTATTAGACGGAAAACTATTTATTTTCAAAATATAAAAATAAAGAAATTTAGGCAACGTCCATACTATAGTTTGCACCAGATAATATATGGATCATTTGTGAGCAAATATAAATGTGTCCCACCTACATAATAATAAATAACAACGATGTTACTTTTGACCTCTAAATTATAAATATTTTCACATTTTTTATATTTATTTTCTGTTTGAAATAATTAATATTTCTGGAAGACCTTTTTCATATAGATATTGGAAAGGAGCGACCTAAAAAAGAATTATTGAAAAGAACAAAACCTAAGAGTCAAATATTAGCAGCTTGCTTTTGAATGGTAATGTGGATTTGACAGATTTGGTAACCCAACTTCCTCTAATTATACCTTTTTTTAGAATTTGTACATTAAATGAACGAGACTTTCAACTTATACCATTTACTCCACCCTATAAACCATTCAAGCTAAAACTAGCAAATACTTGTTTTTGTTGTAGTTTTAACTATTCGTCAAACACGCTCCTCCTCCTCCTCCTCATCCTGAAACCATTGGAATACTGCTCCTATGAAGTTGTTCCGATTTGAATTCCAAGACAATGAAACTCAATCAAGCAAACCAAACCGCTAGAATGCTGTTTTTGAGTGTAAACCTCGTTTGTTTGAACCACCACCAGTGTAAGAATCATTGTGTTTATTAACTGGGTGGGTCTCCTTCACTAATTTGTTCTCCTTAGTATCTTTACTCTCTTGTGCACCCACATGCGCGTTCATCACCGGAATTCAAAGCATCGCCAGTCAGACACTTGAATATTTGGCCCCTCGGCAAGATTACATTCAACCAGCGGTTGTCCAACACACTAATGACTTCTTTTTCAAGGTCGAGTTCTAAATCTTTGAACCTACAAGTCATGAGAACACACTCCACAATCTCAATTCTCATTCGAAACACACGCATAGATGAAATAATTATGTCATAAAAACCGTGGACGACAACAATATTGCTGATAACATATTGCAATTATTATCCCTAACAAAACTTGTGCTCTTTAGTATAATAATGCTAAGTTGCAGAGATCTCATACTATAATTTACACTGACAGTAGATTTTCAGCGCACAAGCTTTAACATAGGAAAAAAAGGTACAACATTCATTTTCAGCTCCCCGAATAGTCCCATAGATGGAATTCCATAACCAGAAACTTCTATAACTTCCGTCCGCTCATGTAGTCGATGCAGTGTTTGTGACTATTGATGGTGGTTAAGCATTTGGCTTGGATCGGAGGGGGCAGGATTCAGGCCTTCTTTCCCCATTTGTTGCACTTCACGTGGAGATAGTATCTTGATATACCACACATTGTTCACAAATTCCCTGATTATCACAGCATTTAAACGAGGGAAATAAGCCACCAAAACCAAGAGTTCACAAATTCCCTGATCTTCACAAAACCTTGAACAAAAATATCTCCCTCCTACTTGTGTGAAATTTGGTGCAAGAATTATGAAGTAAAGAATGCTCTCCATCACTATCTTAACAGTCACTGTCCGAAAATTATTCAAAAATAAATGAAGGGTGGTTTGGAACTTACTGCCAAGGATCATCGCCAAGGAGAAGAATATCATTCTCCCTGTCAACGAATACAAGCTGCCAGCCTGATCTCTGAGGATCCTCTAGTTGGCCTTCAAGACCAAACATTCGAGCGAGCTCACACCGCAGCTCATTATAGCTGCTGAACTTGGAAATATCCAATGAGCGCCCAAAGGACCCCGACTTGTGAACCTATCAACAAGAAAAAAGATTAAAAAAAACAGTGAGAATCACAAGCCATTCGAGAAACTAGACATTATCCTGTAATTAGCTTTTGAATTAAATAGAAAATCCCCAATACAATATCATCAATACACAACACTCCATTAATTACATGTTTCAGAGACAAAAAAAAAAACAGTGGACTTTTCAGCCAAAATAACAAAAGAACAGTAGTTTCATGAGCAACAGAATCCAAAGAGCTTGCCTTACTGAATAAAAAACTACAGTTGACAAATCAGAGATCTATTGAAAGTGATCCACAAGTCTGCACGACATGCTTTGCCTAGTCTAATATGAGGCTCAAATTGATTTATTCTTCACAACCAGATAACTCGCATATTTCACCATCTAAAAATAATCAGACATTTGCAAAGATTAAGAGAAGTCCTATCACCTTAACAAAGGTTCCAGTTGGGGGGTTTACTTGGTCCACATATTCAGAAGACTGCAAGTAACCTGATTCATCAACACAACTTGAGGTAGTCATGTCTGAATTAAGAGGAAAATCTGTCCCAGAAGCACTTGTGAAATTGGAAGCAGCAAATGGCAAAGACAATGAATCATTTTCATTTCCAATATTTTTCAGGTTTGTCATCCCATTCTGTAGCATAAGAGATGAGGAATCAATGCTAACCCCAAACAAAAAATTGTTTTGTGGATCAGCTGAGCCGTGGTAAGCAGAATAATCTCTTCCAGGAAATGGAGGTAATAAGTTAGAAAGTATATTCGACTGTGCAGCTCCTAGCTGTTCAACCTGGGGCAGTACATAGTTAGCAGGTTCAGACGAAACCTGTGGTTCAATAGCTGTTGGCTTGGACAACAAAGCAGAAGAAGAGATAATTGGGTTTGATCCATTCATGTCGAGTAAATGGGAAGCTCCAGCATGGGATAATGAACCTAAGATACTTTGCATTGATGAAACATTAGATGTGGCTAGAGAGTTCCCAAGATGATCTGAAAGTGTCTGCTGCTGGCATTGTGAAGCAACAGCTGGCAGATATAAGGACTGGGCCTGGCTGGCTGATACTTTAGGAAAAGTAGGGATTGCATTAGAAATCTGCTGTTGATCAGACATCTCTGGTGGTTGAAGCGTTTGTGGAGATTGTTGCTGCTGCTGATGTTGCAGTGGTTGTTGCTGTTGTCGCTGATCATTATAAGAATCAGAACGCTGCAACTGCTGCAGAAACTGAACCTGAGAAGCAGTCTGATTCTCCTGAAAACCCTGACGAAAAGCATTTTGTGTTTGTGACTGCTGCAACATCTGCCTCTGAATTAGAACAGGCGACCCATTGGACGTGCTCTGTGGTTGCTGGAATTGCAAGAGAGATTGAAAGCCTATTTTTGATGAATCAGTGGTCCTCATTTCCTGAAATGCAGCAGCAGCCATTGCTTGGTAAAGATCGGGTTGGACACCTGGTATTGAAGAAGTATCAAGCCTTGGCTGCATCCAGGGTGAAACTCCAAAACCTTGGAAGTTTAGAGACTGAAGTCCTTGATCCCCAACCCCTCCTTGAAGCCACATCAGTTGGGAATTGATGCTCATATCACCATCTTTGAAAGCTGGCAACAAACTAAACTCATTCAGAACAAAAAGTGAAAACTCATATTTTCAGGTAAAGAAGAGGTTGTGTAACTCCAAGCAAACTTGGCAAAGATTCCAGCATACCATGGAAAGAGGGCACGGCAGATGGCCATGGTCGCTTCAGACGCAGGGGGAAGGGTGATGAATACATGGGAAAGGTTGTTAATGGTTCAATCTCCCACAAGGACACTCTTGGCTGCTTCTCTCCTGCAGTGGATTCATCCCAGCCAACCTGGAATGTACAGTGACTCTTTCATGTCAGATACTAGTGAACACGTTGCCTATTTAAGGGGAAAAACAAGGGGAGAATATGGTATTTGGGAACTAAAATCATGCACACAGAAACTTCAAACAAACCTTAACAGAGCGCCAATGCGAATTTGGCCAGCGAACAGGATCTAAGTCACTAATGCCGGTTATTGTGCCCATATATCTGATAAAACGCCCAAATTAACACCTGGTTACTTAATTTGCCTATAATACTACAGTCAATTGACTGATAAAAATAGAAGTATTTACTTAATTTCTTTAAAAAAATCAAAGTTTCGCAAGGAAACACCATAAAATTTAAGCAATTCCCAAAAGTACGAAAACATTTAGAGAAGACTCACCGGCGGACACTTGACTCTTCTGTCTCGAATAGCATTCTAAACCGCATGCCTACAGAAACTCGGGTGTAATAGACTGCTTTAACATACTTGGCAAGAGGAATGACAAACTCTGAAGGACTAGCCCTGTAATCAAGCCACTGTAAATGAGCAACATCTCATGTTGGAATAGAATCAATATTTTTCAATTAGTATTAAGAAATTGACCTGGGATTATAAAAGATAGTGAAACGGCTATTTGTTGCAGCTGCATGAGCTACTGCAGCAAGAAGACCAATGTGCATGCTATCACTTGACAAAATAGAAGAAGGCATAACAGTCTGAGGACGATTTGCTCTGCGGATGCCCAGTAACAATTGATTCTTCTCATTCCTGATAGAAGCAAACATGTAAAAATAAAAAAACAGAGATGATAGATTAGCAAGCTCGCCGATTAGTAGCAAGAAGAGAAAAAAGCAGCAAAACTCAAAAACCAGCCTAAACCAAGCTCAACCCAACCTGATTTGACCAAGAGAAATCACCTGAATGATGCAAACTAAATTGGTTTGACTTCAAAACTAAACAATGTGTATTCCCAAGACCGCGGTTATAAACCCAAATGACCAGAACTCAATGCAACCTAAACCAAAAATTGACCCCAATTTTCTCAATCCAGTGTGATTGAATCCACCCAACTGCCACCTCTACTACACACGAGGATGCATAACAATAAATTCATCCCTTTAGAAATGAGAAATAGAATGTAGTACTTTACAGTAGAAGACATATTCATATACCCAAAAAAATGCCGTTCATAAAAATTGTTGCTGCCAAACTGTCTAAGCAGGATGATTTTACTAGATTGTCTCAAACCGCATCACAGATTTTACAACTATTAGCAGGATACTTCTCCAGCCAATCACAGAGCAAAGGTACTTTGATTACCAACAAAGTAATCATAAATTATATATGGATGACAGAAAACAAAATTTACCATATAAAAAGGACTGAGTCACCAGCAACAAGCCTCTTAGCACTAACAAAAACACTCCACCCAGTCGTAAGAAGATGTCTTTTTGGCTGGCCTGCATATGATAGAATACATGAATTGATAAGAGGTTTTTTACACCCATTGAAATTCTAAACCCTTTCATCACACAACAAAACATATATATCCCTCGGGAAAAAAACAATTTGCCAAATCAGTGCCCAGTGTCCTACAGAAACTGCTACATTCCAAGCATTGAATCTAAACATATTCCTACAGGAACTAGCAAAAATCGCTAATTCTTAATTAACAGGCAAAACAGTAGGGGTGTAATTCCATATGATAATTACTTTATTCCAGAAGTGCAGGGGATCAATTACATCATTAACGCGTCTTTTGTGGGCGCTTAGTGGAAATTGTTAGATAGGACTCTTAAAATAGAATTTTCTTTTGAGACTTAAGGTAGCTTGATATATTTCTTTGATTATTGTAAGAAGTGATCTTAACTTAAGGGGTTGTACAGAATAATAAAACTTGAGAAAACTAATATGAAAATCCTACAAAGATTCAGGTCTCTCTCTAAAAAGTCCTAAGATTTCAATCACCCTATGACATGAACCTATTAATTTATACTAGTAAAATCACCCCAATTTCATTCCATACAACATTTGATCTTCTTCTCAAATACATGCATATTGGAAATATCCCCATTAAGTCTTCAAATGCCATTCTAATAGAATTACTACTAGATGAGTTAACCCTCATTAGCCAATAGTTAAGCTTTCATTAATTGTTTAATAACCAAAAGGCCTTACAGCTAATTAATCTTCACAATTCCTTCGCAGTTCCTAAGTGGAAAAGGACCTAAGCACATCAAAAGCATAACATGAAGAACTTAAATACGACCGACCTTTCTAAATTGCACATCCACTATATTTAAAGCATATATAAAAAAAAGCACTAGGGTCATTTTATTTCACAATTTGTTCACACACAGCATACACCTGCAAAATAAATAGTTATTCCACGCAATGAAATTCACAAAAAACAAATACATCCAACAAAGGAAGCAAACAAAAAGAATTAATTGTAATACCTTATTAAAATTTCCTATTTCAATTTTTTTCTTATCCATCATAAATAACTAGCTTCTCTTCGTAGGATTCACATATTAGCTAGGCTTTAAAAAATTATCTAAACCCCAGCACCAAAGGCTCTAAGTCAAAATATAATCAGACCAACAACTGATGCAAAATTTAGAAAGGATATATCTAAGACCATATTCGTAACTTTTAGAAACAACTACATAAAACACCCAAAGACTAAAGAAATGCTATAGCACCTTCGAAATGAAATCAGCATCTTATTCAAAAAGTATATGAACTATTAAGCAAAATACGACATTAATTGAAGTCTGATGACAAATAAAACAAAATCACGATAATCTGAAGCTTCCCTTAGAGATATTGTAACATGGTATTGAAAAAAGTTGTTTTAATCACTCACCGCGAAATACATGCCTAAATTTCCACTCATTTTCATGAAGATCCCGGGCAATTAGTTCTTGAGCAGGAGGTTGCAGGGTGTAAACCTGAAGGTACAATAATATTTAAAGAGAGAAAGATAATGAGTCAAACTAATTCAATTAAAACCAGATTCCATTGAACTGAATTGCTTGTAAACCTGAGAACACATACCAGGGGCGGAAAGACTTTTTCAGCAGCCCGACGAGGAACAGAAAACCCGCCATGAGTACTTGTGTCACTTGCCGTCAGTGTTTTACAAAAATAATTGGTTGCCTGTTTGCTGGGTGTACCCAGTTCTCCAGGCAGTAGGTACACATTCTTTTGCTCTTGCTACAACAAAGCTTTCAAGTCAAGAAGAAAAAAATGAAGAGACCAGCAAGCATAAATCTCCAAACAAGGTCAAGTTCTCATACCGAACTCAGAGGCTGCAACGTCATTTGAGCATAAACTTCATCTGTTTCAACATCAGCCTGTACTTGAACAAACACATTGATAAGCAACCAACTAAAAATTTCCATAAACAGAGAGTAGTCTGGGCAGTTATTTAACTTACATGCATGGTCAAATCGTGAAGCTGACAGATAAGTTGTGGGGGTAAGTTCGGATAGTTTGGTATATGAGCATCTACTTCCTTGTTGGTTGAAGCAGCAACCTGCAGAGGGAACCATAAACGCCATCAGCACAATGAAATTATAGAAATGAAGTATACAGTTCCTCATAGAACGCTCTTATCAGTTAGGAGCTTCAGCTGTTCACTCACCAATTCATGCATTAACAACTAGACTACAATGAAGAAACTCAGCAAATCTGAAATGTCAGCTTAAAGGAAGTTCTATCATAGCTTAAAATTCCACATTGTCCTCAAAACTTGTGTTAATCTAGCAATTTTATTGTGCTAATAGAAAGCATGAGAAACGAGAAAGGTGTGGTCACCTGTTCACTATGACCTTGGGGAAAATATACAACACGGCTTCCAACAGGCGGCAGAGACACCAGAGGACCCGCACATGCATGCCACAGTTCAGAATTCAAACATTTCTTCTCCCCTATACAAAAAGCTTTCACCACTACGTAATTTCGAAAATTTATAACCTGGTGCAAGTGTGCAACTTTATACTTCAAGGAAAATACTTCAAAAAAAAGGAGATAAAAACAGTTACCTTCCTCGGTTTGGTGACTAAACCCAGATGAAGAAAGTCTCATTCTTCAAATCTCAAAACAGGAAAAGAAAAAGGGGCTTCTTCTTTCTCAAATAATACCGAAGAGAAAAAGAGTGGTTGACACCGAAAACAAAAACAACCCTTGTTACTGAAGTATACTCGGGAGTCCTAAAACAGCCATAGCTACAAAGGAAAAAGAGAACTTACCCACCCCCACCCCCTTTCTCCACCAGACGCTTCTCAACCTAAGTTAAAATCAACATCCAAAAAAACAGTTAACAACCCTTCACTCAGACAGCCTCACGGAACTCAGATCTTGCTTCTTTTAAACATTCAAAAGCACCCAAAGCTAAACTAAACCGTAAACCCTAGCTTTCTTCTTGTCACTCAGATCTCCACATTCCAAAGGTTTTCCAAAAGTAAACTAGTATCTAACCCCACCCAAAGTGTCCCTCTGCCTCTAATTACTGGAGCTGCTCAGTTGAGTTCGGGAAGTAGAAAATGACACTTCTTAATTGCTTTTGTTTTGAGGTATTTTTAGAGAGAGAGAGAGAGTCAAAGCCTGGACAAGCAGCAGGAAAATGAGTGAAAGAAAATATATCAAATCCGCAATCACTCTTGTTTTTTTTTTATTTAGTAAAAAATGTAAATTATTATAAATTTTCTATTTTATTCACTTAATTGTGTCCCTTCAAATACTTTTAACTTAATTGCTTTGTTTTGAGGTATTTTTAGAGAGAGAGAGAGTCAAAGCCTGGACAAGCAGCAGGAAAATGAGTGAAAGAAAATATATCAAATCCGCAATCACTCTTGTTTTTTTTTTTTATTTAGTAAAAAATGTAAATTATTATAAATTTTCTATTTTATTCACTTAATTGTGTCCCTTCAAATACTTTTAATCATTTAAAAATAAATACTTAATTATTTTATCATAATAATTGTTAGTGTTCTAATTCTAAATTTTTTAAAATAACAATTATTTTTCTAATAACTGAAATAATTTGATTTATACAAAATTTTCGTTATATTTTCTACTTTAATCATTATTTATTAGAATATTAACAATAATACTAATATACATTTTTTGTTTTTAAGTTTTTCTTAAATTTTATTTCTTCACGTATAAATAATTCAATGTTGCTTTTTAAAGTTAATATCTAAAATAAAAATTTAATAATTATTTTAGTATAAAATATATCTATCATTTTTAAATTATAATTAAAATCTTTATTATTATAATGACAGATTAAGTTTACTTAAAATCTACTTAATAAATAGCAATAAATTGAAACTTGAAACTGTCAGAAATTAGTATAACAATTCAACTCCATAAAAAATTAGCAAATATGAAAACCTAAATAGTGTGAATAAAAAAATTACCAGTTATTTATAATCTCCACGTCTCTATCTAAAATCAGACACAATATTAATATAAGTATAGAAATCAAAAGAAATAATTTAATATATTGATTTGTGAATGAATATAAATACATCGACAAATTATTACAAAAAGAAATTTGATTATAAAATATCATTGACTTTTCCTAATAAGAAGATATATCGTTATGAATATAACATGAAACATAAAATTATCACAATAATAAAAATAGTATCATAAAAGCATAGAAATAATGTGCCATAAAAATTAAACAAAACCATACATTTCAAGAATATGAAGAAATTAAAAAAGAAGAGAAATCATAATAGAAAGAATCGTTATGAAGATTTGAATCAAAAGGAAAATTAAACAAAAGAAAGAGAAATAACGACAAAACTACCGAAAGTATTATTTTTATTTTTATTTTAAAAATGATATTTTGATTATTTACATTATTAAGTTGTTATATTAAAGAAATCAAAACACGAAGTACGGACAGAAGAGAACAAAAGGGACGCTGGTCCTAGCCTAGACTCCAAATTTCTCAACCCAGAGAACTTAAAGACCAGGCCAATATCGCCTTTCCTTTTTTAAGTTTTAGCGGGCCTATAACTCTAGACAAAGAAAATGGGGGCAATTTTGGCCCATTACAGCCGACAAAAATAAAATTTAAGGATTTTAAAAATATTGATTTTTTAATTAGGGATCTACGACATTTACTACAGTGCAGAAGACTCATCACTTCTAGGTGACGGGTTTCATGGGATATTATTTATTTATTACGTGCATATTATTTTATTTTTTTATGAAACTCGTCACCTCGAGGTGACGAGTTCATTTAAAATTTTTTTACTTTTTTTCGGTAATATACATGAAATTAGAATTGGGAAAAAAAGTTGTTGGAACTCCTCACCTATCGACCACAATCTCACCTTCTTCTATTGACATTACCAATGTAGGTGGTAGAATTCCCACCCTCATGTGGTCGAGCAAGTGCTTGGACAACGTAATCGTAATCGAGCCTAGCGAAATTATGAACATACATCGATGTTGTATATGTTTGATTTTTGTACATTACTTTCTCCAGATCTGGAGCCCAGTTTCTACCTTCGTTGATCATTGCCTCTACTTGGGCACCTTTGTATGCCCATACTTTACCCAATCTAAAGTAAGTCTTCCGAACAATACCTAGACGGTGCTAGAAGTTTTATTCAATGTCACATAGGTTTAGGTTACATCTCTATTTATAATAAAAAAAAACCTGGTACATAATTACATAATTAACATTGTACCGTACCGCAGGGCCTACGCCCCCGCACCCCCAACCCACATAATCGTAACCCCCTCTACGAGACTTTCTTTGTAAGGATAGTTGATGTTCACTCACTCCGCTCCATCCCCTATCCTCTTTACCAGTATATTTATGAGCCATACCTAACAAATCTCCACCTTGGCGAATATCCTGCCTCTTGGAAACTTCAATGTGAGTTGGGTTACCTTACTTTTTTAACAACTCGAAACATTCAACAAGTCCAAGTAATGCTTGAACTTGTCTGTCGTAACTGGCTTGGTGAACATATCAGCGGCATTCTCATTAGTATGTACCTTCTGAAACTTGGACAACATAATCAGAATCAATGTAAGTGGTAGAATTTTCACCCTCATGTGGTCGAGCAAGTGCTTGGACAACATAATCAGAATCGAGCCTAGCAAAATTATGAACATACATCGATGTTGTATATGTTTGATTTTTGTACATTGCTTTCTCCAGATCTGGAGCCCAGTTTCTACCTTCGTTGATCATTGCCTCTACTTGGGCACCTTTGTCTGCCCATACTTTACCCAATCTAAATTAAGTCTCCCGAACAATACCTGCTACCGCAAAATGTCTAGTCCCTTTAAGAAATAAATTGAAACATTTTGCAAGATTTGTTGTCTTATAACCGTAACATATATCTTGATCGTCACATGTCTGTGACCATCTTTCTCAAGGTATTTCAGCGGCAAACTTATAAACATCTTCTTTATATTTTCTCAGATTTTCCAGCCTTGCATGGAAGTTCAGTTGAAGTAAAACATATCCTGAAAAATAAGTTAGATTTAAGTACAATAATTCATGAAGAACGTCATTAAAGGAAAATAAAATATTAAGTTAGTCATGTTGATAATCTCTTTTTTGATCTTCTTATTCTTAAACCTCATCATAGCATTGAAAGCAATATGGCGTATGTAATACACCGAAAATGCATGGAGAGGCGACCACATACTTCATGGTCTGTCAATCGTGGCCAAAAACCCAAGTGAATGGTCTGAGATTATACAAACCTTATCTTGAGTGACAACATGAGAACACAAGTTTGATAGAAACAAATTCCACATTTCCTCAGATTCATTTTTAACAAAGGCAAAGATAATGGGGAAAATGTTTCTGTCGCCATCTTGTGCAACAACTATCACCAGGACGTGTTTGTATATGTCATACAGAAAAGTGTCATCCATTTGAACCATTTGTTTGTAATAACGAAAACCTTCAATGCATGACTTAAAAGCCCAGTACAAATAAAAACATATAGTTAAATTTCAAAATTGGTTCATTATCAAAGTTATGAAAACGATTGTATAGTTGTACTTTAAAATACAGAACAACTCTTCAACCGTACACCATATGCAGGTCCCCATAATTGCATCCATAAGGACTTATCCTAGGCCCAAAGGGCGTATGTACCAACCTAAAGGAGCACCTTGGGTCTATAAGGTCATATCCTAGCCGAAGCGTAGGTGCCCACATGAGGGGTGTGCCCTCAAGCCCATAAGGACTTACCCAATGTACATAGCAGAGGAGCCACCCTAAAAGAGTACCTTAGGGTCCATAAGGTTTTACCACTAGGCTCATTGGGCCTAGGAGCCCACCAAAGTGTTGCCTTATGTCCATAAGGAATTACCAGCTTGATCGGTGCTGGACCTATATAAGGAATTATTAGTTTGATCGAAGCTGAACCTGTAGAGACTTCATACTATATCCCAGAGTACCCCAAAGAGCATAGTTTTCAAACAGTAACTAACACTAGCAAGGAAATCAGAGTTTAAACATATATCAATTCAGTAAAAAAAGTAACCAGAGAACATGAATCAGACAAGCAGACTTAAAACTTCAGTAAATCAGAAATCATTCTTGAAATAGATAAATCACGTGAAATTAAATCAGATCATCTAGTCATATTGAAAATCAGGTAAAATAGTCATGTGCACATGATATTTCAAACATGTATATAGAAAAAGAATCAGTCATGTAGATCTATCGAGCACCAGCTTCACTACTCTCTTTGACTGTACAAGAACCTAAGTCATATCAGAACAAAATTATTACCGGATAAGTACACTAAATTGAGTATTTAACAGGGTTGCAAAACTATATGAGTAATTACGGGATCTCGCAGATGAGGGGGTCGAGAGGAACTGGGCTGAGCAGACGAACAGTCGGGAGAATCACGG